CCACAGCTGTTGGTTGGGTTTGGTTTGCAAGAAATAAAAATAGCGTTGGCCCATGCCTGGTTTTTGGGTCAGCTGGGTAATTTCAGTGAAGGGCCACAGCTTGGTCCACCGAGGCTCACCGGAAGGACACGTCTGGCCTTTCCTGCCCATGGAATCAAACCGCGTGTACAGTGCTCCTAGACTGCTGTGCGTGTCTGGCATTGTTGGTTTATGTGTCGCCGCATCGTGCCATCTTCCATGTACACAGCCTGGTGTCTGGTTTTAGGATCTTGTCCACGTGCTCATAGGAACACCCTCCATTTTATGGAGTTAACGTATATCCAGTAACGTATAACCAGGGAGGTGGGAAAGGTAGGGATGCTGTGCCTGGATTTGAGTGAAGTCAAGGTACCGAGCTTCCCTGAGTCACAATTTACTGAACTGTGAAATGAGACTAAAATAATGACAATAGCTGTAATATCCATCAAACAGTTCTGAGGTTTGGAGGCTTGGAGACACTCTATAATCTTGATGGTTTATGTATGTATAAATGCTGTATATGTTTCTATGTTATTCGAAGAGCAACTGGGAGGCAGGAAAATGGGGCAAGAATCTGTGTCCCCATTTTATAGATGAGGAAACTGAGGCTCAAAGAGTTTCTTCGGGAACTTTCTGGAACAGTTCATTTGTCTTTACATACTTACTTGGGAAAAGTTCTTGTGTGGTGACCTTGGGGTCCTGTGTCATTACTCTGCAAAGAAAAGGGAAAGACCCCGAGGTTTGTGGTGCGGATAACTCTTGCAAGGTAGGTTTGGGGTGTTAGATCCACTGGCCCCTGTCAGAATGACAGATCTTCAAGGATTTGCACAGTGAGGGGGCGGGGGCAAACTGGGGAGAACTGCTGGCGACTCCATCCCTTAGAGCTGCCCATGTAGAGCTTGGCAGCTTCACCCACCATCCCTCCATCGCCTACGACGCATGGGTCTCTCCATCTTCTCCGTCTTCCCATCGGCTCAGCCCCTCTCCATACACCACCTATCCATCCTTCTATCCACAGCCCGTCAGCCATCCTCTCCCCCAGCCAGCTGGGATTTCCTGAGCAAGTTCCCAAAGAGCTTGTGTAATGCAAAACTTGAACAGTTTGATTGGTTTTCCAGTTGAAATCAACATAAAGAGCACATGCTCAGGGTTCCTAAGTCCCAAAGCATTGTAGCATCTTTTTGCCTCGATGCTGCTCTTTTGTGTTTTTCAGCAATAACTCAAGTGTTTTTCTCTTTGGGGCAGGGGGATGCCCAGCATTTCGATTTTATGCACTCACTATTTCTTAGATCGCACAATTTCTGATGTGTGCATTTAAAATGTGCCTGACATTGGTCACATTGGTATACGGTGCCCTGCTTGGCACTCAACTTCAAAACTGCCATGGAAACCCCCGGCATGTTCCGCTGGCGTTCCTGATACAGTTTCAGAAGTGAGGCCCTAAAATAAAAATTCCAACTGGCCTTAAGCCGTCAAGTGGCGCTCAATGTGTGTGCATGGATTTATCATTTGATATACACTTTTTAAGCACCTACCATGCACCCAAGCTGGGTAAAGGATCCAGAAATTAATGACAACTGGCTCATGTTCTTAAGGGCCGTTCGAGTCGGCCAGGGGAGACCAGAGAACAGGTCATTTTTACGCTGTGTCATCAGCATTACTATGATGGAGGTCTGTACTCACTGCTTCACTCAGGCCCCTGCAGGCTAGGCAGATAGGTTGCCCTGTGGGAGCAGGATGCGGAATTGTGAAAGTGCTTGGCCGCATGGCCAGGAGAGGGCGCAACAGGGGAGTGGCCCTTCTTACCATGTCGTGCCCTCCTGCCTGGAGAGGATGTCGGACTAATCTGTTAGCGCCCCTGGGAAAGCCAGGATAGCCTTTGCAACATTTTTGACGATGCCATCTGTCAATTACTAGGACAATTTCAAAATTTGTCCTGAGGGCATGGGTGACCCAGCAATTTTGGGACTCTGACCTGTCTTGCAGATGCTTTTTAAGCTTTTCTTGAGGACTTACTATGTGCCCGAGATGAGTAAGAAATAGATCCTGGGGGGCCGGCCGAGTGGCGCATTGGTTAAGAGCTGGCTTAGGACGCCAGAGGGCCCCGGTTCGGATCCCACATATGAGGGCCAGTGACACTGCCCTCTACAGCTAAGATGCTGAACAACAG